CTTGAAAAGGAACTTGCAATCTGACCTGCTCAATGGCCAGCATGGGGGGAGGAGGTTTTGGTGTGGTGTGGGTGGTTTTTTTTTTTTGGTTTTTTTTTTTTTTTTAATAAGTCAAAACATATTTGTGTTTGAGATTTGTTTCGCTGGCCACGTGTTGTATATTGTAGGGTATTTCAAGACATCCCTGAAATATTTATCATGCTGTGTCCCACCAAGAATGTAATCTTAAGGTCTCCACTGTTTATGAAGCACAGTCTATATTTTATCTCATGCTGAGAAAAGATGTGATAATGGTTGTTTAGGGATTATGTGAAAATGGAGTGAGGAATGACCCTTAAAAGTTGGTAGGAAGCAGGAGATTCCCAAATGAGACTAGGGAGGTGGGGAAGCTGGCTGAATTGCTACTGTTGGGATTTTCTAATTAATATGTCGTTTGCACTTACACTGGGGAAAATGAAGACTGGAGAGATAAAGAAGCTTTTTCAAGAAAATGCAATAAAATTTGTTGGGTTACAGAAGCTAAACCCAAACCTGTAACTCTAGTAACTTGCCTTTATTAGTGCTGCAGCTCCAGAGAGCGATAAGGTGCTTGTGATGCTCAGGATCATTAGTGGATCAGAAGTGCCGGCTCTGGGAAGTGGTGTGACCCAAATGAGCTTTAGATACTAGACTAGCGCAGACTTTCCTAGGTAAGTGATCCATTTCAACCTTATTTGGTTTTGGCTTCATTCTTTACATCTCTTAACTTTTTTAGGTTAGATTTGTCAAAACCTTAGCGCTGGCTTGCAGAGTTCTGTGTGGCCCGTGGCATGTTCAGGGGAAAACGTTCTGCAGATTTCTCTGGACAGTCTAATGCATGGTTCTGTAGAGATGCAGGGAATGGCCCCGGGGGTCCCTTGCACTCCTGTTTTTGTGTGTGATTACATTGAAGTGAACTTGTTCAGCAAGCAGTTTGTTAGATTATTATATGTACCTTGCGTGTCAAAGTTGCTTTTTTTTTTTCCAGTATTTTTCCTATGTTTTCAAAACCAGAAATACACAAACCTTTCACTCTTTGCAAGTGGATTTTTCCTTTTTTAAAATGCCAGTCTGTCTTTTTAAAAGATACTTGCCCAGGCTTATTTCCTTAAGGATTAGATCTGTCTTTGGATGACAGATGGCAATAAAATGTTATTGAGTTGGGTTTTTTGTTTGTTTTTCTTTCTTCTGATGAGATGTTCTGCAACTTAATGTTAAGAATAATTTAGACTCTGCTCTGTGAGGTATTTAAGGCCTGCATAGAGATCATTCTTCCTTCTCTGACATCCAGCTATTCAAATTGTAATAGTAAAGGCAACAGAGATTTAGCAAGTCATTCTAAATGGTGCTTTAGGGCAGGAAATAAAGAATGCCCCAATCAATTGAAATTCCAGTAGGGGATTGGGATATGATGTAAAATTACCTACACTAGCCTGGGAAACCAGAGTGCTCTCAACAACAGAAGTACTACTGAGTCCTTAGTATTCAGAGGCTACTTGGTGCCTTTGGTCTGTCTTACTGAAAAGGCAACAGTCTTGGGAAGCAGTTTGTTCCCTGAGGCTGTACTGGACTGATGAAGAGATGGGAATGATGATTTGTTGAGTCATGGCCACCACCTTTTGCTGCACAGAAGTTGTTCATCTAAATTCATTTTACTTGTGAGCTAAGGCATGGCGTAGTGCAAGGTGTACAGAAGTACGCATCAGCTAATATGTAATTGCTACCTGAAGATTTTTTACATGCTAGTAGAATATTTATCCATATCAAATTACATATTAAATTACATGTGCTATCTGAAATAAGACAAGCTGAGAATGCTTACTCTCTGGTTTTCTTCTGTGCTATTGTATCAGCTATTAAAGACGGGCAAGCAGAATGGTATAATCTTACTTTCTTTTTCAACAAGGTGAAAAAAATCAATTCAAATGAATCAAGTTTTGATATGAGACAAACATACTATGATTGATGCCAGACATGATAAATTAATTAGTTATTGATAAAATAATACAAATCTGTGCAATTTATGAAAGACTGCTTTAGACTGATGGTTATTTCTGAGTTATTTCTGTTAATGAGCAGAAGGAGCAGATGCTAGAACATCTGTGCCATGCATGTTGTCCTTTAAAAAAAAAATAATCAGTATTCAAAGATGCATGTAATATTGAAATCTCTTCACTAAAATAAGCTTTTACCTCTCCTTTTTTTTTTATTTTTCTTCTGGAGTTGTTGTCATCTCAGGATTTCAGAATTTAGAATGTGTAGCTGGGACCATAAATAGGACTGCAGGCACCTTATTGGTTATCAAATCTAGTTACCTGTTGAAGACAATCAGATCATCAGATCCTCCTCATGAGCTTATAAAACTTAATTTTGAAACTAATTTTTGCTCTCTTCTATTGAATATACTTCCAGACTCACTACTGTGGCTGGTGAAAACTACAATTTCCCTTCTGATAAGCTGATCTGCCCAATCTTGTGATCATCCTAGTTGCTCTTTTCTGCATTTATACAGTGAGCTCATCTGTTCTGAGTGTGAGTGACCAGAATTGCACATGTCATTTCAGGTGAAGTCTCCTCACATCCTGCTGGCGATTCTGTCTTTCAGAAGGCAGCAGCTCTTCTGATACATCCTTCGGTTGCATGGGCCTTTTCATAACTGTATTGTGTTGCAGAGGGACCATGAGCTACTATTTAACTGGTATAGGAGCATCTCTTCTTCTCCTTGGTGCTCTTTAGCTGATGAGCTCCCAGTGACTTTGTGAACTTGTTTCAAATGCATGAACTTGCTCTGTTCAGTTGTGTTGCCTTCTGTTATGGAAGGGTTTGCCCGTAAAGTAGTCTGGTATGCCTTGTTTAAAATACTCTGAAATAATGTGACATGCTTTTTGGCTCTTTATTTTTAGCAGTTCTGAAAGATACCTCTTATCCTCTGTCTGCTATGCCACCCGTTCTTGTATTGCTTGTGCTGTAACTGCGCTTCAACTTGCCTTTATAGAGGTGTGTTGATCAAGTAGCTTTTAGGGTACCCTGAAGTAATGACAGACACTTTTAGGTCGTGTTCTCTCTCCTTATACTTTTGGATCAAGCTGGGTATGCCATAGGAGCTTTGTAAGAGGGAAGAGAAGGACAAATTTTAATAAACAGCATTGGGTGCTGTCGAATTCAGAGCTTGGGAAGAGATGAAAAGCTTTTTATGCTCTCCTACTCAGTGGCTATCCCTGGTAACTTCGTTCTGGGGTCTTGTTCAGGCTGAAAGGACCTTTCTGGGGGTCCCTGGCCATGCTGGGCATCTCCACAGGTTTGACTTACTGTGGCTACTTCCATCGACACTGGTGAAGAGCCCTCTTCCAGGGGAAGTATATCTCCTAGAGTTGAGTTGTCTTGCCTCAGATGTTATTACACAGTTTGTAAAGAGTGCACTGAATGCTGGGGAGGGTCTTTTATTGCTAGAGTTTTTGAGGATGTGATCCTACATCAGCCTAAGCTGTTCAGAGGTTGCCTGCTGTGGTGCCGTCCTCTTCCCTTGCTCTGCAGCCCAGCTGCACTGGTGCTGGTGCTCATGTCTTGGGCATGTCAGCAGTTGGGGTATCTGCCCTTGTCAAAGCCCTTTCAGTGTCAATATATGGGTGGAAGCTGCCTGAATGGGAGCATTGTTTGTGGGATGCCCTAACCTGTTGGAAGACTGCAGGAAGTTTGGCTGCTCAACTTGTTGGGACCTGGAGTTCACTCAAGGGTTCTCCTAGTTCCGCTTTGAGAGCAGATCTGCAGAGGCTGGGCACCTAACTGCATGGTCTGGTACTAAACACAGTCCCTGTTCTTTTCATGCTTCAGCTTCCCTAATGAGTGAGTCTTAAACGTGTCTGTCTTTCAAGACTTTCATGATAGTGGTGTGATATACTTGCTTTGCTTCAGATTTTATATTTAACAACATCCTGCTTCAGCTTTCTCACCCTGAATCCTCATGCCTACCTTCACTTTGCCCATTGCTATGTGCTGGTACAAGCATTTGTAAACTATGTGGTGAACCAAATGGGAGAGTTCATCTGGCTGAAAAATAACCCAGCAAATAACCATGTGGCTGCACAGATGTTTGTTTCTGGCCTGCCGGAGAGGACAGCAGGGGAAGGACAGTGTGCAGCATCATGAAGGCAGATCACAGCAGCTTCTTTGGCATCGGTGCTGACTTTATCATGTCAAAATACAATTTTGGTGTTCCTGCTTATATAAATTCAAGGTTATTAGGACTTTTGCTACTTATGAGAATGGGAGTTGGTGTCCTAACCTTTGAGTCTGCTCACTCATTTCTGACAAATTACATAAAAGGAAATGGTTGACTTTCTTGTATCACAAAACAAGATTTATGTAGGAGCTCCCAAGTAGCATTTTGTCATGGCAGATTGTTCTTTCAGTCTTTCCAAATCAAGCAAGCTTAATGGTAGGGAGGACAGTTCTTCGTTATGCTGCTTTTTGAGCACTGACAGTGTTTTCAGAGCTATGCAGAACACTGATGATTCAGTTATTGCTCCAACAGGCTGGTTTTTTCAGTTGTTTTTAAATGTGTGTACGTATAACCATACTCTCTGTATTAGAATAGCTTAAGGAAACTGGACTGTGTATTTTTTATGCTTTGAGTGAAATACAAGCCTCTGCTCTTGGCAGAAATTTGGCTTAGTTTGTACGAAAAGCTGGGAGAGATGAGCCAATGCATGCAAATCACTCAACAGGTATGTTTGCAAGAGATCAGTAAAGGTTTTGATTTTTGAGAGTTTTAAACACTTGCAAGTTTCTCATTGAGACACCAAATCACTGTTGTTTTTATGGTCAGATGCCTGGTTCTTACAGATATGTGTTTTACCAACTTTATCTTCTTACTTTCTGAGATTAGACATGAAATATGGAAGTGTCTTGTGACAAGCCCTCAGTAATGTGGTCAGGTTATCCCATCATGCCACAAATACCTTTTAATGTTTTTTCTCTTTTACCACATAGCTGTATTTCCTTGTCTTGCTTCCACATGCCATTGTTGCGCTGTGAAATGCGTCGATAGTACAGAACAGAAGGTAGAAGCCTTGTTTTGGATCAAGTAAAAGATTTGTCATGGCTGGTTTGGGTCCCCAAGGCATTTATTTTCTGTTGTCTGTGTTTTAGTTTTTTCCAGTGTGATTTCTGGCATAGGCAGGTGTTTCGTAAGACTGAGTAAGTGAATGCTCAGAATACTTGAGTTAGTAAGACCCGGTCAGCTTTGGCAGCAGTTTGACCCACACCATGGAGTAGGACTTTTCTTACGAGGTAACAAATGGATATGGAAGGAGAAGGGAGAGAAATGTCTTGTATGGAGTTTGGTGTGAGATCTTAAAATTGTTAATATGTATGTTTGTCTTGTGCGACCATGGGCAATGTTGAGCTGGATCGTGTCTAAAAAAGTGCAGTTTCTGCATTTTAGGCAGACACAGAAAATTTCGTAGTTGTGTCATGTTCAGGTGTGCTGTGGGCAGCTGCTAATGCCGATAGCTACTCAATTTGATGTTTGAAAATTCGCAAAGGTTCTTATTCAAAGAGAATAAAGCATAATGAAAGGGTTATTGACATAGTTGAATTATTTTAGTGCATGTGTTTGCTCAGTAGACTGTAATGGATTTGAAGTAGTTGTTCTGGTACATTGGGTAAATTCTTGGTCAATTTTGGTATGCCTAGTCATTGTGAAAACACTTATTTCTCAATGCCACGCAGCTGCTCTTGAAGTATCAAGAATTGGCCTGTTGAGTATTAGCCTGTTTGACCAAACCGACATAATTGTGCTGTAAGACATGGGGTTTTTTTATGATGGTGTGCTTAATTGACTAGGCAGCAGTATCTCATAAGAACCAGTTTTACTTAAATACCTACAGAAATATTTTACTTTCCAGAGTTAATGCCATAAGAGGTTCTTTAACTTTTTTTTTTCTAGGAAAAAAGAAAAGGCTTGTCTGTAGCGGATAAATATGAGTTAAGTTTCAGCTTGCTGTAAACTCTCTTGTCAGGTCCAAGCTACTTGAAATGGTTTTGTAATGGAGATGTTGAAACACAATGGGTGGTGGAAATGTTTCTGTTTAATATTAATTGACTCAGTATGTCTTTTTTTGCTTAAAATGCCAGTCATTCAAGGCTGTAGTTCAACCACTACCTGGTCTGTTTTCTTTCTGGTGAGTGCAGTTGAGAGGAGTTGGCCTGTATATCAGGGTATATATGGTGTTTGGAAAATCGGGTTAACTGTGGCAAGTGTCTCCTAAATTTTTGAGATGTCTGGGCTTGTTTAACCCCCTCCTTTCTGCAATACGCAGCAGAGCTTGTCTGACAGAACAGAAATGAAACAAAAGTGTGGGCGTGCATCCTTTTCCCAAAAGATATAAATAGTCTAAAAGAGCTTGTATGCTCAGTGGCTTGGCAGATGATCATAGAATCATAGAATGTTTTGGGCTGGAAGGGACCCCTAGAGGTCATCTAGTCCAACCCCCCTGCAGTGAGCAGGGACACTGCTAACTAGATCAGGTTGCTCAGAGCCCTGATGATGCTGAGTATTGACATAATACAGATGTAGGCAGAGTACTGGAGTATTTTTTTGGTTTTGCTTTGTTGTTTAAAGGAGGGATTAAGATCAGCTCTCTGGAGTCTCAAAACTTTTGGAGGGGGGAAAGTTAGCAAAGTAATATTGGAGATTTTGTCCTGTAGTGCGTGATACTACAGGCTGCACAAAAGGGAGCTGCAGACAACTGAAAATAGCTTATCAGCAGTTTTTAAAAACCAAAAATTCTCACCTGTTGATTATAGAGTTGTGATTTCTGCCTGAAACCTGAGACGTTGTCTTATTGCCATGATGAGCTGTAATCTCTACATGGCGCGTGGGCTGCTTGTGAGACCTATTTATTTGCTGGTTAAAGACAGACTCATTGTGGGGGTTTAGGGCCAAATAGGGTTTTGAGAGCATTCTGAAGTTGTCTCCTTACAAGGTGAGAACAGCAAAATCCCCATCAGCAGGACTTCAGAGAATCTGAACAGAGGAAGAGGAAAAGAGTAATTGGTATCTTCTCCCAACTCCCTCTTGTGTTTGGCGGACAGGGAAGAGATGGCCCAAAACACATAGGCAGCTGCTTCTGCAGATACTTGAATAAGGATTTCTGAATTCCTGAAGCTGAGGTGTGAAAAGGAAGAGTCTTATTTCTGTCCCCACCTCATCTTGGGAGCTACTGATTTTGTAAGCTCCTTTATTCCGAAGCTCTTACAAGTGTTGCTGTCATTGTAGCCATGATTTTTTTCTCTTTTCTAGGCTCTTGATCTCTAACCTGTAACATGGGGGGAAAAAAATTGGCTTTTACTCAGTTCCCTTAGCTTTTTGTATCAGAGATAATCATTGCTGCAGACTCCAGGAAGAACCTGCCGTCTAGGCTATGCCTATTAGTCCACCAGCCTAAAAAATAAAGCTGCCATGGCCAACTGCAAATAGTAGATGAAGTCTTGGTTATGTAGCAGAAACCATTGTGGGTTCTGAGGACTTGCTAAATGTACTTACGGTTGTGAAATAAACAGGTTTGACAGCTGCTTGCTCCAAACTGGGCTGTTCTTGTCTCAGTTCAAGAATCTCAGTACAAGAACACAAAATTGTCTAACCCAAGCTAAGCAAAAAGCCTGTAAATATTTCTAGAAGCATCTTTAATTTAAAAACCTAGCTGTCTTTCTGTAAGCTTTCTTGTGTGTGTGTGTGTGTGTTCCATTGGTTTTTAATGTTCCCTCACCATAAATCAAGAGTCATTCCATATCTGTAAGTAAATTTCCCTCTGACATCAGAATTGAGGAACAAGTGAAAACACATCTTTTTTGCTGATTCTTTCCATTCCATTTGTTTGTGGTTTAGGTCTTGGCTATATGTTGAAGTTTGTATTATTATTATTTTAAATCTGAACTGTTTTTTCTGTAGTAGAGAGGATCATTTGTTTTGTGTGTTACTTTAACAGAAACATCTTGGTTATAAAAGCTGAAGACGAGGGGCTTAGAGATTCTAAATATTTGATACTGTTTAATAAGTATATCTACTAAAAATAGCCTTTGTAAAGAAGGGTAGTAACTCATTCAGTAATATTCCTAGTCAACAGCAAAAGCCATAAAGACTTTTTTTCCCTGAAATGATTAATGGCTGTGTATCTGAAGTCCTGCAAATTTCTGCTCTGCTCAGCAGAATCTTAAAATTTTTAAAAGAAAGAATATCTTCTGCTTTTGAAAATAGCGCTTTGTTTTATTCTGTTTTGTTTGCTGTCTTGCCAGCCAAGCTAGAAGAGTAAGCAGCACCATGAAGCTGTGCTAATGTTGTGAGCCATTTTCATCTGTTCAGTGCCTAAGGGGCTTGATTCCTTATCATCCGTCCATGAATGGCATGTGTGCCTGTGTGGGGAATGCAGGATTGGGCGCAAATCTTGTACCCTTTGAAGATACTTTGTCCAAAACAAACACTCAGTTCCAGTAAGTGTAATTTAGTTGATAGATATCTAAGTTTTCTGGAGAGGAACCTCTGCTTGTTTTCTGCAGTGTACCATTTTTAGTACAATCCTGATCCTGAAGTCCTTGAACATTGACATGAGGGCATGTAGTGCTATTTGTGCATTGATGGTGCCAAACCATCTAGATACTTTATTATTTGCTTTCCTCAAAAATGTGGCATCGTTCTAGACTGCTTAGAGACTGAATCGTTTGTTTAATATTTCATGGGGATGAAGGAGAAGAATAAGACAGATCAAACCAGTGTCTGTGGAAATGAAAATGAGCATACTGATTTTTATTATCCTGGTGTGAAAGAACAGGAGACTTTATTGTTCCTGGAAGTGTTGCGATTGCTTTTGCTGGTGATAGTACTAATAGTCTTCCCTTGTTGTCTGTGCATGTGTAACTCCCTGGGCATTTTGTATTGATATCTTCATCCAGATTACCTATTCTCAGGACACAAACTTAAATCCACAAGGTAATGAAAGATTTTAATGAATGTGTGGAACAGAATACAGATCACAGAGGGCATATAACCTCAGTGTAAAGAGGAGAATCAGCATTATCGCACCCTGAGTGTTTGTTTAGGCCTCCTGTGAAGCTGTTGTCTTCAGACATACTCAGTTTTGAACGAATGTATAGACCTGATTTTTAAGCATGAACATTTTTCATTGTTAGTTCATATATGTAGCATGTATGCATACATAATACATATGTGCATATTAAAAATTGCTGATTTAAGGCTCCTAATTTAAGAAAACACGTGGCCACCTGTTTTGGCCATGATTTGAAGGGGAGCTAAGCAGGTGTTTCAGTGCTTTGCTCATTTGGGGAGAGCCATGCATGATGTGTTGGCCAATAAAAGATGCACTGAATGATGTCCTGCTTCCATAGCCAGACTGTCCTTACACTCAGGCACATGGAGAAGAGTTGGACTTGCAAAGAAATAGAAGGATCCCCTGAATTTATGTGGCCTGTGTGCCATGAGGGAGCTCTGTAATGCCAGCTGTGGTGTTGGGGTGTCCTTCTGTGCTGCCCGGGATGTCCGGTTGTTGCGTGGGTTGGGTACCGTTGGTGAAGTCACATAAATTTCTCCATCTCTTAAAAAAAACCAAAACCAAACAAAAAAACCCCCCAAACCCACATGGTGTATTTTTGCAGTACGAGATAAAATTTTGTCAAGTCAGGTTTCGAAATTTTTATTTCAAGATGTGAATTAATTTATTAAATCTACCTTTATTGAAATCGGCCTTCCTGGTGTTTGCATATGTTCTGACTTTAGTGGTCTGCAGTGAAACCAAAAGGAACTTGTTTGAGAGGGATTTGGGAGATGGCTTTTTTCCTTCCTCATTAATTGGATGGAAATGTGGGGCAAGAATGACCTGCTAGGAAGTAAGCTTGGGATCTAACTGTGTATATTAAATCTATCCGGAGATGGAGAGGAGGTGGGATTTGGACAGAGTCCAGGCCTGCCCTTGACTTGTCCTATATAACCCCTTTTGAATTTGGAAGG